TTCATCAGGAATCCTTGAATTACTGAAGTATAATAATGTATACAGTAAGAATAATCAGTCTATTTCTTTGGCTGTCTCTTTCAATGAGCAAAGTGAAAGTTAAACAATGAATTACGTGCAAATTGTTTCAGACGAAGCTTCAGGCGTTGCTTGAAAATGCTGTCACGGTGTCTTTAAAGAGTGTTCACCAAAAGTCTACAGTTTTCAGAAATATCCAGTAGTTTTGAACTTGACTCTGATGAAAATAACATCAACTCATTGACAGTAAAAAAAAACAAAAAAAACTTTACTTTTATTACAACCAATCGCAAGCCAAGCCTTGATCTCTTACCTGATATAGAAGTGGATTTTAGAATTTCTATTTAAATATATTATTGTGGAAGGAATTTCTCGGTGCATACAGAATGAACTTTTAAATGTGATTCCAAAATCTATGTACGGCTTGGGCGAATAAAAATTATATTATTATTAAAAGCTGTTATTTCATTAAGATAACATTATGTAATTCATGACAATTTAATAAGTGCGAATTTGCTTAGAAAGTCTTTGTTGCCTGCCAGTTTTGTTGGTGTTATTTGATGCGTTAATGCAAAAATGTTTCTTATGTTCATGTTAGAATAATATTTGCTGTATGCGAATCTCTTTGAAAATATCCAATACGAAATGGAAGTAACTAGCTACAATTCAATATGTTACTCTGAAAAAAATCAATGGAAGATGTTTAATTATTTTCGTTAATCTAGTATCATTATGAAATTGGTATGAAGCAACAATTTAATGCGGGTAGAAATACCTAAAGATATATCATTATGATTATTCTGATTTACTAATACGTGCATTACTTGAATAAATTATATACATACACACACACACACACACACTCTCTCTCTCTCTCTCTCTATATATATATATATATATATATATATATATATATATATATATATATATAATGAATAGTAGTTTTGTTTTCCTGTATAATTATTTACTTCTCTAACGATAACTTCTCTCATACGAAACCAAACGCATATATAAATTTAAGAAGTGAATTTTGTCCTGATTTTGAACCGGGGGAAAGCAGACAAGTGGTATACCCACAACTCTAAAATTTATTTGAAAATACTATTTTAGGCAAAGCGTACACGTACTAGGCTAATCATAGATTGAAGGCCGGTGACTGACATTCGGAACCTAAGCAAAACTAACAGATATTTGGTCAATCATAGAAAGTTGGCGAGCAACACCTTGAATTAATTATGCTGATCTATACGTAAATAATATTGTCATTTTTATGGATTTTGTACCAGTTTGCATATTTAGATTATATCAAAATAATTAAAGGCGATAATAATTACTTCTCATTCCATCTAATTATAATGCAATATTATATAATTAACAATAGTCGACATTAACATAAAGTTTGCTAAAGATTTGAAACAAGTTTAAAACTCCTGGAATAATCTTAGATTTTGTTTGAAGTTATGCGTGTATTCCGGTAATTTGTGGAAATAGCAGGGAACTCTCGCAGCAGTAAATATCTACACTAAACCCGTGTAACGAAACCTGAGTGATGTGCTTTAATTATTGAAAACTGATTCAAATGCGTCTGTTCATTTCATTTGAAAATTTGTTTCGAAGAAAGAAAAAAGTTGTTTGTATTAGACTCTCAGTTGATTCAATTTTAGTTCAGATAAACTGAAACTATCTTAATTGTTATCAGTGGAATGTGTTTCACACAGAAGATCACCCATAAAGAAGGCTTTTCCTTTAGTCGTCGTTGTCGTCATTGTCAACGAAGGGCGCCGCCGCCTTCAGTGTCCGAAATCTTGTTGATTTCTTTTTATCCGCCTGGTTATTTTGTATTACGTTAATATCGTCCAAAATTGATCGGGTGTGAAGCCAGACCAGGTTAGGATGAGGTTGGATGATGAATGAAAGAAAATTAAAGATGCTCAGCTATCGTCTTTAGCGTAGATAAGATCTCTTCATAGTAAAAAAAAAAAAAAATTTCATGACCGGAAGGAAAAAAAAATCAGTCGAAATGAAAAAAAAAAAACCCAACCCCCCCTCCAAAAAAAACCCAACAAGAATGAATGAATAATCTAATGAATACAGATTGAGAGACTTGACAAAACAAATGAATAAATGAATGGATCATTTTTGACTACTTTACTCTCTGTTAAAGTAGTAGTTATTAAGTTTCACGTTCTGCTGTAGCCTGAGTTTGCGAGTTCGTTTCCTTAGAAAAGAGAACATTTCGATTGTGTAAAAAAACAAAAAAAAAAACAAAAAAAAACAAACAAACAAATAAAAAAAAACTGACCAGATCAAAATTTGTTGCAAAGAACTGGCTACAATATTGAAATACTGCAGTCTTAAACGATGAAAATTATTATATCTAATAATTAAATTCATTAACAGTGTTTTGACATATTTTAAAGATGAAAACTGATTTCGTAGGATAGCCTTTCGAGCAGCCAGCTTATTCTCTTAATTCTAACTGAGATCCGTTATTAGCATTTCTTAATCATATATCTGTATAAAGAAATCAACATCACCAATACGTAGTGGATTTTCACGTCCAAGTAAAGAAGTTATACATCACCGTGGTAATCTGTACAATTTAGACAATTATTTTGGTAATGAAACCTACTGAGTTGATAACCAGAGCTTTTCTTCTATCAACACTATGTATAGCGGATATATAGGACAGGTCTTCCAAGCATTGCACATTATTAATTATAAGTTCAAGTTTCGCCCAGTTCTTTGTACACGTGTCTTAGTGACAATATTTTGTGTCATTTTTTAAACAACATTTGGTAACAACCATTTACAAAAAATAAGAGATAGTTAATACTGCAAAGCGAATAGAGTGGACAATTTAGCTTAACTATTAAAACGCAAACGTGAAAAGGTATTTAACTTTTTAAGTAGGAATCTATAAAAAAAATACAAAAAATAAAAAAATACTTCCATTTCTGAAGGTAAGAAGCAATTTAAAGACTCCTGTTTTCTCTTCTTTCATTTTCTCAAAATTCTTTTTTTAATCATATCATTTATTTCGTAGTTCAATTTTAAAATTTTAACACGTGTTGAATCTGAGGAGGTCAGTGAAGATTAAGCAAATCCCTGAAAAGTAGAAGTGATTCTTTTTTCGATTCATTAATGGCAGTGACAGAGCATACGATACCCGGGTGACGCTCTGCTGATGGTGGATTCAAAAAGGAAGCTAGTCAAGGTAAGGTCGAAGAAGACTATGAATTAACAGGAAGACAGGAAGTATGTATGGTCGTTAGCAAGAGAAGGCCTGAGCTTCGAACTGGAGGCAACAGAAAACTGCAAGTACTACAGAAATGTAGCTATTTGGATAAAGTAATAACAGATTAGAGGAATTGCGACACAGATCTTTAAACCAAACTGAAAAGCGAAATAAGCTTCCCAAAAATGAAAATGTTAAGACATAAGACATTTTGTTAGAAACAAGGAAAAGAGTGCAGAACTACTCTAATATATATTCTCTTGCATGGCATTGAATGCTGGATAATTTCCTTACAAATGAAAAAGAGACTCAATGTGACATATATGTAACTCTACAGAATACTGAGATTACCATGGATATGGCAGCAACAAGGAAGTTGTAAAGAAAACGCCGAGAAAGTCACTCATACTAAAAATCATAAAGAAAGAATTGCACATGAGTAAAAATGGTTTGGAAAATTTAATACTTACAGTTAGAGGAAAATTTTGGGAATGACAGAGAAGGAACAAGTAGGAATTGTAAGGAATCAAACATTGCTTAGAGGTACAAGTGGCAGGAGGTTGTGGAGAGACATGACACATAAATGATGATGAATGGTTAAACTGATGTAGAAATATTAACATGATATTATAATCATATAATGAATGAGTATAAATAAGAAAAGCTTTGGTTATAATATCAAAAACAATACTGATTATCGGAATCCTAATCTTTCGTATGAATATATATCGAAACATATAAGGGTGAGTGTGTGAGATCCTGGCAAGTATTACAAAACAAACAGTAATATATAGAAATATTTGATAAATTCACCAAAATAAATGCATATGTAATGAAAACGTGACTAAAACTCCTATTTTTCATTTGCTATTAATATAAATAATAAAATTAACTAATGAGTTCATTGCTATTATTATTGACTGCACGAAAAAGGGCTGAAAAGTTCTAGTCTCGACACATTTACCGCAACTAATATTTAAATGCTTCAGCAAACGGTTGAAGGAACAGGAGAAACGATGCACTAATTGTGTTTAAAAGTGCAGTGAATAGATGCAATAATATGATGTCGCCTAACTAACAGAGAATAACCCTTTGCCCTTAAAATTTATTTTCTTTCGTAAGGTGGAGAAACATTCAGAAGAATTTCGTAAACATATATGTTTATTTGTGAACATATTCTATGTGCGAACGGGTTCTTACTTTTCTCGATATCAGTTTTATTTTAAAATACCTAAAAAAATAATGGATATTAATAATATCGGAAAAATGGAGAATGGATGAAAAATGGAAAGGGAAAACTAAAGATTCTATGACAAAAACGAGAGAGAAAAATAAAGGTTGGATGAAAAAGGAAACGGAAAACTAGTAAAAAAGAACGTAAAAAACAGCAGGTTGGATACAAAAAGGAAAGAGAAAACTAAAGGTTGCACAAAAGAAAGGGAAAAAAACTAAAGCTTGGATGTAAAAAGGAAAGAGAAAACTACAGTTTGAATTAAAAAACGAAAGAGAAAAATAAAGATTTAATGAAAAAAATGAAAGAGAAAACTAAAGGTTGCACGAAAAAAGGAAAAGAAAAACTAAAGCTTGGATGTAAAAAGGAAAGGTAAAACTAAAGTCTGAATGAAAAAAAACGAAAGCGAAAAATAAATTTGATGAAAAAGTCAAGATAAAGACTAAATGTTGGATGAAAAGAGGAAAGAAAATGCTAATGTTTGGATAAAAAGTAAAGAGAAAACTAAAAACTTTATGTAAAAGGGAAGGAGAAAGCTAAGGTTTGGATGAAAAAGGAAAGAGACAAGTAAAGATTTGATGAAAAAGGAAAGAGAAAGCTAAAGATTGGATGAAAAAGGAATGAAAAAACTAAAGGTTGTAATAAAAGAGAAAAGAGAAAGCTAATGTTTGGAAAAAAAAAAGGAAAGAGAAACTAAAGATTGGATGAAAAAAGGAAAGAAAAAACTAAAGATTCGATAAAAAATGGAAGAGAAAACTAAAGGTTCGATGATAAATGAAAGAAAAAAGCAAAGGCTGGATGAGAAAGGAATCGGAAAACTAAAGATTGGACGAAGAAAGCAAATGGAAAGCAATAGGTTAGATGAAAAAAGGAAAGAGAAAACTAATTTTTCAATGAAAAACGAAAGGGAAAACTAAAGTTTGGATGAAAAAAATGAAGGGAAAACTAAAGTTTCGATGTAAAAAGAAAAGGGAAAACTTAAGGATAGACGAATAATAGAATATAAATATAAATAATAAATATAAATGTTGGATGAAAAATTTTAAGGGAAACTAAAAGTTGGATAAAAAGGAAAGAGAAATCTAAAGGTAGCATCAAGAATGGAAAGAAAAATAAAGATTTGATGAAAAAAAGAAAGAGAAAAGTAAAAATTGTATGAAAAAACGAAACGGAAAACAAAAAGGTTGGATCAAGAAAGGAAAAAAATAAAGATTTGATGAAAAAAGGAGAGAGAATAATAAATATTGGATGAAAAATAGGAAGTGAAAAACTAAAGATTGGATGTAAAAAGAAAAGAGAAATCTAAAGATTAGATGAAAAAATGGGATGGAAACTAAAAGTTGGATAAAAAGGAAAGGGAAATATAAAGGTTGCATGAAAAAAAGGAAAAAAAAAACTAAAGATTAGATGAAAATAAGAAAAGGGAAATTGAATTTTAGATGAAAAATGGAAAAAGAGAAAACTAAAGATTAGATTAAAAATAAGAAAGGGAAACTAAAAGGGGAAAACGAAGGGGAAAAGGATGGATGATAAAGCGAAAGGGAAAACGAAAGTTTGGATTAAGAAAAAAAAAAGACAAAATAAATGTTTGATGATGAAAAGGAAAGAGAAAACTAAAGATTAGATGAAAAAAAGGAAAAGGAAAACTAAAGATTGGACGAAGAAAGGAAGTAACAAAAGACAGTTTGGATGAAATAAATGAAAGAGAAAAATAAAGGTTGGATGAAAAAAAAAGGAAAGAAAATTACAGTAGTTGGACGACAAAGAAAACGGAAAACGAAAGATTGGATCAAGAAAGGAAAAATAAAAATAAAAATTTGATGAAAAAATGAACGATAAAACTAAATGTTGGATGAAGAAAGGAAAGAGATAGCTAAAGATTGGATCAAGGATGTAAGTAAAAATATATATTTGATGTAAAAAAGAAAGAGAAAACTAAAGGATGGGTGAAAAGAGGAAAGAGAAAATGAAAGGTTGGATCAATAAAGAAAAGTAAAAAATAGGGCTTTGATGAAAAAAGGAAAGCGAAATCTAAAGGAAAAATAAACTTAAGATTTCTATCAAAAAAGGGAAAGAAAACTATAGATTGGATGAAAAAGGAAAGAGAAAACTAAAGATTGGACAAAAAATTCAATGGAAGAACTAAAATTGGATGGAAAAATAAAGAGACAAAAAAGATTGAATAAAAAAGGAAAGTGCAAACTGATGTTTGTATAAAGAAGAGAAAACTAAAGAGTGTATTAAAAAAGGAAGGAGAAAAATAAAGATTGGAGAAAAATAAAGATTGGGGTAAAAATGAAAGAGAAAACTAACGGTTGGATGAAAAAGAAAAAAAAAAGGAACAAGTAAACTGAAGATTGGATAAAAATTTAGTGTAATGAAAGGAAAACGAGAAAAAATGTAAAAAACTGTTATAAGCAAAGAACTACAAAATGAATGTTTGTTTTTTTTTAAACAAAAAGGAAAAGAAACAAATGAACACAGAACTGTAACAATGATAATGGAAAATGCACGCCCGCCATCTTCATGAGACGTATACTGAAATGGGTGGACAACGGAAAGATGGTGGAGTAAATAAAAGAAGGAAAAAAGATGCCAATGAAAGGAAACGAGAAAAAGTTAAAAGAAAAAAATGTCAAAACAAATGTATAAAAAGAAAAATCCAAAACCAGTGTAGCCTTCATGCCATCTTCATTTGCTTAAAGCAAGTAAAATTGTTTTGAGCGTCTTAATTAGACACAATTCCTTATAAAGTGCTTTAGCTTTAGCCTCAGCTCGAAGTTATATTAAAAATCATAAAAAAAGACAAAACCATTTAAAGACAAAAAAAGAAAAACACAATTATATATATATATATATATATATATATATATATATATATATATATATATATGTGTGTGTGTGTGGGTGTGTGTTTGTGTGTGTGTGCGTGTGTATGTATGTATGTATATATGTAAAAAGAAAACACGACAAGAACAAAAAATAATGGTATCAAAAAACAAGAAAGACCTTAAGCAAAATGAATAAAAATGATCTCAATTTTTTGCCACTGGTAAGACATTTGTACAAATTGCTAGGCAGGAGAAAGAAGAAAAAAAATCCCGTGGACGGTCGACCATTAAAAACATCACCAACCGTCAAATCTGGCTAAACCGAGTCTTTTCACATCGTCTGTTACTTTGAATCAAAGTTCAAAACAATCAAAAGATCCACCATTTCCCCGACTCCGCCTTTCGCATCACACGAAATTAGAGATTAAAGCATGGTAAAGGGCCGGCTAAAAGCTCAAATTAAATTCCTATAACGCTTGGTTATCAGGACACGGCTATTAATCGCAATAGCTTAATGGTCTTTGGTAATTACGTATGTATCAGAGCGCCGGTTAAACGCGGGCGGTGCCAACGTCTAAATGTTTTGCCCCTTCCGGTCAGAGGGTCAGACGATCAATGAAGAGAATAAAAAAATGCTGCACGAATTTACGTACAAAAAAGCAGAACATTTGATAAGGCCATTTCCGTTGGCATATTCTTTGGAAGTAATGCTTCTTCCTATTCCATTTTGTTTTGTTTTTAGTTTTTTTGGTGGGGTGGGTGGGGCGGTAGTGTTTGCTGTGAAGAGCTTTTCGCACTACAGATGAACATATATTTTTGCGTGCACAACTGTGTGTATGTTTATTTGAGTTTGTGTCATTGCGTATTGGATTGTGTCAATATGTTGCATATTGTATACTTGTGACTTATATATTAAGTATGCTAATTATTTATTAAATATAGTTAATACAGAATTATTATGTTTTGTACGACATACTTGCAATACGTCATGCTTAATGCATGTACGCTGGTATAATTTAAAAAAAAAATCTTTGTCATCTCGTAATGACTTATCCCTCCCCAACTTATTTTTAGCAGCAATTTTTATAATTTTTTCTTTTGTATATATGTATCTGTTCATGTAAATGTGTAGATTTTGTTGGCATGTATATGCAAACGTATGTACATTTGTATATTTGAAATACTTTAACGCTTAATGATGCCCTTGTTTTTTAACAGAGCCAACCCTATTTTTATAAATTCTCATTTCTTTAAAATATACAGATACACTTCTTGGCTGCAAGTATTTTTAATATGATTCTTATATAATTTATATAATACATCGTCCACGAATTTTATTGTTTGCTTTGTAGATAATATTCGTAACTAGGTTCGGAATTACTGGCAAAAATGAATGGATTTGCACAGAAAAATAATAAAATTAAATGAATTTTTTACATTACGTATATTATTTTGAAAGTAAATAGAAATAGAAAAGCTTAGAGCCAATAATTAATTTACACATTTCATTGTTTTGCTTTTTGCTAAGAGGATCATTTTATTGCATATATTTTTATCGTTATTACACAAAATATGTCAAAGATTTTTTCTCATATTTAATTTGGAATAAATTGAAATATTTGCTTCTTTTACGTATGACGCTCATTATATTAAAAAGTAAATGGTTCTAGATTCTGAAAATTTGTTTTTGTTATCAATCCTGTACTGTGAAAAAAAAAAAAATTTAAAATTGGACAAAAGAGCATACAATTTATTGAAGTGCTAAAGAGTCTCTATAATGTCAAGATTGCAAAATTAAATAGAATAGAAATGTTGACTGCATATTTCCACTAAAGACTGTATTTAAATTAATAGACATTAAAAAATAATTCGAACTAAGCCAGGTATGGTACAGGGCAACACAAATGGAGAATATAACATAAATGTTTTCGAATCGATTTGTTTTGAGAGCGCAATCCTTTTTCTCATACTTACAATATTTCAATCAGAAATGTCTACACAAGGTTGCATGTAAATTCAGTACTCGCTTCCTATGTGTCTTGCACATATTTAGAACTGGTCTCTTCTTGCACAAGTGAATAATCGAACTGGTGTCTTATCTATGAGGAAAAAATTACAACAAGCAACAAGAAATGATATCAAAATTTTCAGAACAAAGCATAAGTGTGTGTTATATTAAGAGTTCGAAATGTAATTTTTGTAGCTCACAACGGACAAATTTTCTCCTGCGAGAGTATAGTTAAAAGTTAAACTGTTAATCGCATATTAATTAGTCATATATATCATTCACATAATGTAATGTAGTTTCCCATTAAAATGCAATGTACACACACATACACCCGCGTGCGCATACACACATATATAAGCAGCATATCTTCATTTAAACATGTTTCATTGAATTATATAGACATATTGTATCTATTTTTATACTGATCCTTTCCAGGTGTCTAATCAGTTTCTATCATGTTAAGATGAAATTCAAAAATAAGTAGACACAATATGTCTTTATTATTTAATGAAGCACATGTATATAAATTAAATATATATATATATATATATATATATATATATATATATATATATACATGTGTGTGTGTATGTGATAGATAGATAGATAGATAGATAGATAGATAGATAGATAGATAGATATTATGTGCATAGCAATTTTGGCAGCGTACATAGACGCTATACTCTGATCATCAACAGCAAAAATGTCGAGCGGTATGTAAATAATCCTGGAATTTTTATATGCACTCTGCTAGTATTTATATAAAAAAATTACTGTGAGACTTTTGCGGTGAAGGTTCTCCTATATGCATTGTATGTATATATATATATATATATATATATATATATATATATATATATATATATATATATAAGCTCTTAAATACTCATTATCACGAGTTATTTCATCCTTTCTTCATGAATTTATATATATCGTATATATACCTACATAAATATACCTACATAAATATACCTACATAAATATACCTACATATATATACCTACATAAATATACCTACATAAATATTAATATATTTTGCCATAAGGCAAAATATATTAATATTTATGTAGGTATATTTGTATCAATACACATATGTCCTTAAATATATGCTTAATTATAAGGATACATGTCTGCATATACATTTTATTCGATTTCCCTCTGTTGCCTCGCTCTCTCTCCCATCTGCAGAGAGAGAGAGAGAGAGAGAGAGAGAGAGAGAGAGAGAGAGAGAGAGAGAGGTACATAAGAATACATGTTTTGCATTTATTGAGTTTTGATACATGTTTCTGTCTCCAACTTCTTTGGTTAGATGTTCCACTTATATTTAATGCTTAGGGGAAACCCTGTTGATAATCTGTAGAATTCTCTAATGGAATTTTTAAAAATATTTTTAGACAAAGGTGTAAAAACGAAGGGAAAACTTTCTTTGAAATCTGAATAACCATCTGCGCCTTCCTGGAAAGATATTTTCAGGATTTGAGAAGCGCAGAATCTATGATTAAATTCATTAATCCCTAGACTGAAGCTCTGCTAAAAGAGATCAATTTAATTAAAAGATGTCAATTTCTTATTTTTAAAATGCTTCATAGTAAATAATAACATGCAAAACATTATGTTGATTTCACTTTTTCTATGGCAATGTTAAAACTCCTTGAAAAAAAAACAAGTTTTCTGCTTTCATGGCAGAAACACATTTTATTAATCATTATTATTTGTTCTTTTAAGTAAAAGTTCAAAGTAATTGTATGAGAAGCCAGCTTGTCTCTGATCGCATACTTACTGGAGATTACATAATTCTGAACTAATATATTGTACTCAAAACAAAAGAAAAACGTCCTATATCGCTTTCTTTATTTAAGAAGAGTTGTTTTACGGCTAAATAACAGGGAATATTAACAAAGTGTTATTTCTGTTCTACATTTGAGTCATTAAAATTATTTCGTCTTCGCTTTACCATAAAGTTTCAGCCATTGCACGTTTCGCCATTGACCCAAATGTCGAGAGATAAAATAAAGACGGAAAGAAAAAAAAATCTTTAATAGTAAGACGAATTCGTTTAAAAATGCAGATAAAAATATTTGTTATACAAATTCATCGACATTGTATTATAAATAAAGCAAAAATAAAAATATTTGATATTTACTGTCAACTTCGTTAGAATCTTTCATTTATTAAATATACTGTTAATCATTTTAATTTACTGTTAATGCTTTATGCATTATACATCTGTAATATTTATTGTATTTTTACGTTTATCTCATTCATAGTACTTAAAATGCGTATGAATGAACTAGCCGAAAAACGCTTTGAAATATTATGAATAATTGATTTCGATCTAATGAGGGCGATCATTTCACAGCCATTGATCATACAATTATCAATTAAGATAATACTACCTGTTGTCTGCCTTATGAATAGGATAGGGAATTAACAGTTGAATACTAATATACATTGAATAATTGCTTCAGTTTTATTGTCACTGAGGATGACAAGAAAATAAGGAATAAATGTATAACTGTTTCACCAATCAAATATGTCTTTCTATCCCCTAACTGTCAAACCCAGCTCTACAGCAAGAATTTTGGTCAGGCGAATCTGTATACGCTTTAGACATAAAGAAATACATGCACACTTGGCATATGTGTTAGATCAACGAGCTCGATCAACAGAACTAACCGCCATCAACTAACTAGCTACAGTTCTGATGATAACATCTATAGCATCAGATCATAGAAATAGTCTAATTTGGTGGTCTATTTCTGCCCAACTTAAATAACAATGATAGTGAACATACAGTCAAAAATGACTGAAATATTTTTTACAAAAACCAAATGCACATTAACTACAAACAAGACGAATCTTCACTTAGAAATATTATAAAGACATACACTACCCCAATTGACCCGAATAAAAAAATCAAATTAATTATCTACTATAAAAAATTTAAGACCGTAAACCTTATCCTCAAAAACAACAACACAACAGCTAAGTCAAGATTACAACGAACCAACATTATCTATGAGTTCAAATGCCCCTTAAGGAACTGTGAGCCTGATCAAAGCGAATTCATAAATAATTACATCGGTCACACAACTACATGCTTATCTAGACGCCTTACCTTACACCTATCTGATCACAGCTCCATTAGAACCCATTAAAACACACACGCAAACCTACCAGACTCCATTCGAAACATACTAGTAGAAAATACAAACATAATAACTTCATCCACTTGTAAAAAAAAGATTTAAAATAATGGAAGCCCTAATAATAAAAAAGAAAAAGCCAACTCTTAACAATATTAACTACGAACAATGTGTTCGGAAAATAAAATACCTCTATAACACACTAAAAGCATACACATAACATACACACTCAAACTGAAAAAATAAAATCAACCCTGATAATGGGTAAAAGAATAGCCGAAAGCGCTCGGAACTATAGAACATTTGAACAGTTTTTACACACTCTGTTCCCAAAGAAGAAAGCTTTTGTGTGAACACAAGAAAAATTAAATAAAAAGCTTAACCTTAGTCTGTCGTTTTTAATGAAGCACACACACACACACACACACACACACACACACACACACACACACACACACACACACACATATATATATATATATATATAAGTGATCAATACAAAGTAGAGTAATATATTTATAAGAGACTATAATAGAAACATGGTGAAATCGGTACACAATAGCTTTCGACATTATGTTGTCCATCTTCAGGTTACCATCGTGACCTGATGGTAAGTGACTGGTGATTAAATAAATTTTTAAAAATTTCAAAAGTAAATTGTTAACTCTTTTCCGAAAGTTAAAGTCAAGAAAACACAAGATCAGAATTAAAAATAGACTTGTGGGTTTGTCTTGATCAACCAGTTAAATCAAAATCTACGCTAAATAGAAAATTAGGTTCAGAGGGCGTGGTGGGGGAGTTATTTTTTCAGGACATATTAAACCAGAACTTAGACAGGTCATCATTGACAATTAAGGAAAACATATAAGCAAAAAAATATTGTGATTCTAGATTGTCATTTATTACAACCTCACTTTATCTTTCGGAAAAGAGGTAACACTTTACTTTTGAAATTTTAAAAAATTTATTTAATCATCAGTCACTTACCATCGTCTGAAGAGGCACAACGTTCTGCCGAAACACGAAAGCTATTGTGTAGCGATTTCAACATGTTTTTGTTCTAATATATTATAATAGTAATAATATATATATATATATATATATATATATATATATATATATATATATATATATATATGTGTGTGTGTATATGTTATGGGGTCCACCCTTTTCGGATATAATGGACTCGTCCTGCTGCCATAAAATAGCCACAGTCAGGCAGAGAAGATGAGTCGTACATGAGTCGTACCGGAGTCGTATGGTAGTCGACAGTGAGTGTCGGTAGTCGGATAGAGTGAAGTAACCTCTTGTAGAAGTCAGTTACAAGCACGTAGACTCTAAGGAAGTCCTACTTCGAGACTGTATATATCTATCTGTATTGGACTAACCGTGTTCCTGGATTTTACTAACAGCATTACCTTTTGTATTTTGTGTAAATACATTTAATTTCTTAGCTTAAATACTTGCGTTTGTCATTTATTGGATACCTATTTTTCACGCGGGATCCACAACAACTTGGCGAACGAAGATTCGAAACTCACGCGGAAAAGAAAAACTTTTCGTACGCCTAACCAACAACAACTTGGCCACAAAAATTCAAACCCAAGCGGAAAAGAAAAAGCATCAACAGAAAAATCCTTACCCCGTCGTCCAACAACAAATTAGCGACAAACAATTTCGAGGAGTAAAAATACAGAAAATTGAGCTATCATGGAGGATTTTAAAACTATGTTGGTAGAACTAATAAAGCACCAAAATGAGCAACAGTTACAGCTACAAGAGAAATGGCAAAAGCAATTATTACAAACACAAAAGGAAAATCAAGATAGACAAACAGAGCTCCAGGAACTAATATTGAAAGTAGCAGGCAACAAGCAGTTAGATATTGAAAAAGAAGCAACATTTTCGCAAGACGCATTCTGGAATACCATAGAGATTTTTAAATATTCTCTAGATGAGGACAAAAATTTTGGAGATTACTTCAGAAGACATGAAGACATCTTTAACATAGACTATCAAAATTGGACAGAAGCGAAAAAACTACGTCTATTGCTTAGAAAATTGGGAACTGAAGAATATACAAAGTTCGTGGATTATATCTTGCCAAAAAAGACAAACGACTTAAAATTTGACGAAGCAGTGACATGTCTTAAAGAACTCTTCAGCCCCAAAACATCACTCTTCCATAGGAGGTGGAAATGCCTTAACCTGGTAAAGGGCGATAATGAGGATTATTCCACGTTTGCCGCAATAGTAAATAAACATTGTGACGACTTCAAACTAGCGGAATTAACCCCGGATATGTTTAAATGTCTCATCTTTGTTCAAGGGCTAGTTTCTACAAAAGACAGCGAAATGTGTAGAAGAATGCTGGCAAAATTACAAAATGAACCGGGTCTAACATTACAGCAATTATCAGAAGATTGCCAGAGATGTTTAAGCATTAAGAAAGACGCAAAGGACATTGAAGATCGGCTGTTTCTCATATACGTAAGTTAAACAAAAATCTACGTTCTTCACCCTCCCCGGAAAGAAAACTAAAATTTTACGACAATGAAAAAAGATTCTCACCCTCCCGGAAAAAAAAAAATAAAATATTATGATAAGAAAAAAACTACGACATACAGGACAAATTATGACAAATATCGAAACAAATATAAGCCCCCCTCCAACAGCGTGTTATCGATGTGGAGGATTACATTGGAACAAGGATTGCCGCTTCAGATATAAAACTGTCATGAATGTGGAAAAAAAAAGGCCAAAAGGCATCCCAATGTAGAAATAGAAAAGATACTAATATAATAAGAGCTACAAGGATGAATAATGATGACAACAACAATGTAAGAAAATATGTAGAACTGGAAATTTTAAACAAAAAGATTAAATTACAATTGGATTCGGGTGGTACCGACCTCACGATAATCAACTTACAGACATGGAAAAAACTCAATAGACCTACGATGTTACACACTCAAAAAAAATAGCCAAATCGGTTACAGGAAAACGAATAAAATTTGAGGGAGAAATAATAGTAAATGTTAAATTTCACGGCAAAACAAAAAACTGAAGATATACGTCATGAAAGATACTGAAAGCTT